GACGTAATTGATTAACATGTTGTAGATGTGAATTATTTACTGCATAGTTCTCATATTTAACTAAGAGGTTCTGTATTTTTTGTATTTAGATACATTCGATTGTTCCCCACTTGTATTCTCTCGTTTACTATAACATTCTTCAACAGTTTCAACTTAAAACTTCATATAAGATGAAATGCATAACATTATGATGTCTCTTATGACATGATTTGATCTTCAGTAATATTTTCACTTACAGATAATCATCCAATGCTGTCAGTTTTTTCCAGTTGAAACCATCCAGGAGAATACTTATTCTTATTTAATTACTCGAAGAATTATATTAAACAATTTCTATATTCAACATAATACTTAACTGTTACATTTAAGATGAAATTAATACTGATGAGGAGTCTCATACGAGGACGAAACCACTATCTAATGATTCTTAGTTTTAAATAGCGATCTAAATAATATCAATTAAGAACTTAAAGTATTCTTTGATAAAAAGAAAGACAAAGTCTCCCCACCCCATTTCACCCCTTCATTCTATTACATTTTATTAATAATAATAAGAAATTTATGAAATCTTAATCATATTCACTTGGTATTGTTTGGTTTGTATCTTTCCATTGAGATTTAAGACTGCAATTGTTATCGGCATATGTCCATACTGTGTGTATGCCTTGATATTGCCTTAATATAAAAGAATTATAAGCAAATATGGACTCAGTAACTAAGTGAGTAACTTGATGGTGTTTGAAGTGAACGGTACTGCGTTGAAGTCCCAGAGTGAACATCAACTCTGAAATGTAGATACATCCAGATGACTAGTCCCAAATAGGACGAAACGCACGTGTTGGATTCCACTGCTAGCTACTATCCATCAATGTTAATCATATTGATTATAGTCTCTTATTTAGGGAGATTCTATATAAACTTTAAACCAGAGAAATCTTTTTGCACTGGTCAATTATATATAATCATTGTAAAAGACTAATCTATGAAGGAAGAATATTCCTTTTCCAGAAATTTTTTTCAGGTTCTACAGTTTATATATTCGAATTGATAAACCGGAAAAATGTCCAGGTTAATGGCAAAGTTCATCGTTTAAAGCATGTGAATTTAAGACTGTCAAACAAAATAGAATATATTCACTTGGTGTTGTTGTTTTATTTGTGTCTTCCCATTGTTATTTAAGACTGTAATTGATCAGTCTCATGTTGGCATATGTGCATCTTGTACGGATTGTCTCGATATTGTTATAATTAACAAGCATTCTAAGTAAAGATGGATGGATAGTGACCAGCAGTAGAATCCTACATGGGATTCGTCAGCTGGATGTATCTATATATCAGGCATGATGTTCACTCCGGCATTCGAACCCAGTACCATTCGACTTAAAATATAATTGTTAATGCTGATATAATTCATATGGAATGTTAACTTGAATCTGCGTATATGTTAAGTGAAAATTTTTAAGATCCATGATCAGAATAAATATGGGTCAGATAGATTGAGAGAAATAATAGTGCAATTACAATTGGATCACATGTTTAATGGAAGACCATAATGTGTTAAAAATTATTAGTAAGACATAATAATGCTAAGTAAATGAATCATGTATCGGGGAGATTAATAATGATGTTTAACCAATAGTAATAATAATAATAATACAAAGATTTAGAACCCAGGACCTATCAGTCTCGTGCATAAGCGCATAACCGTTAGTCCACTGAGCTGGCCAGCATTCAACGGTGTTATTGTCTAACTTCAACTAATCCACGAAATCGCACCTTCGTACACTATTGTCTTCAGTGAGCTGATATCTTACAACAGACCTAGTTGAACTTCACTGGTCACGGCTTCTCCCTAAAACTCCAGGAGTATCTCTTGAAGTCAGTCACTAGTGAGCAGATGATTATTATCAGAAGTGGATGTGTGGAGATTTTAGAAATTTCACTAGTTGAAATCACGAGTCAATTTCGTGCATTGGTTTAAGTTGGACATTAACACCGTCGGATACAGGGTCGGTAGTCTAATGGTTAAGCGCTCGCGCGCGAGACTGATAGGTCCCGGGTTCGAACCTCGTGCGGAGGATCGTGGGTGCGCACTGATGAAGATTCCCACGATGGGACGAAACAGCCGTTTAGTGTTTGCAGGTTTTCCATCGTGATCTAGCTTCAATCGACTCATGATTTCAACTATCGAAATTTCTAATATCTGCAAAAACCCCTTCTGATAAAGATAAAACAGGCAATTACATTCGACTACGAAAGGTCGTAAGTACAATAGTCAAATTAGGTCATTCAATAGTTAAGATTACTATTAATTAATTGGTCTTGAGTTTGATGAGAAGCGGTTGAATATATTACATTTGTACACATAACTCTGGTTTCTTCATCCGAATGGATACTGCCTCAACCATTTCAACAACTGTAAGATTGAAAAGCTTTGGCAAAACATTACTGACCTGATAAATAATTGAAAAGGATTGGTTTATACTAGTACTATGACCAGTTTGCACAAAATGGGCCAATATCAAACTGTTCACTTTCTTCACCAGACCTTTGCTTAGCTACACTGGGAAGTGTTCACAAGCACGAAAATGTAAATTTCTAGAACTTTGAACAATATAACTTGTTCCACAGAACCAGTCGAACTGATAAATACAAAATGATGTGATCATTCTAGATAATTCACCGTTTAGCTTCGGTTTCAACATTGGGCTCATAGAAATCACAATTCGTAGTTCAGTGATGTTAAAAGATCTTTGCATTATTCTACATATTCTCTGAATTGATATTTCACTAGCCACATATCCCCTCTGTATTATAGGATGCATAAATAGGTATTTCTTATTTACTGTTTATATTTCACCTATTCTCACCTTCCTAATTATATAGGTAATGATAAACTTACTAGGTTAACCATACATGATGTTTAGCTGTTCTTCAACTATAGATCGTAGAACATACGGTGTATATTTGGTCACTAATCGTTTTGATCCAGTTTCATTTATACTGTAAAAAGGTATAAAGCTAACGTAATGCACATACTGCCTAGTCCGGGTATCTTCTATTTTCTTTCTGTTTCAATTCCTATAATGTAAATGTCATTAAAACTTCCCTGTCACATTCACTGTTTCTATCTCATATTTTCTTAAATGATGATGATGATGATGTTGATGTTGATAATGATGATTTAAACTGAAATCATAAATCAATAATAAAAAGAAAAATTAAAAAAAGAAATAAAGAAAGACAGCTTTCATGTAGTTACTAACTAATCTCTCTAGGGTTACATTGATTTAATTAGGTAATTTGATTTATCATCATGATCATACACCAATAATGATAGTAGGTGATATATAAATAGAATCCAATTATTTATGACTTTTCCTTAATATTAGTTATCTAACTGATGATTTACAAACATATAAAGATTGATACAAGAAGGTACCAAAATAGACATGCATTACATTTCGTCATTCGATTTCTCTGAGGGTGGAGATACTATCTGGGTGTTCAAACCAAAGTAGGTGGTTTTCTTAGGGGGTCACACTTCAAGCCATTAACCTAAAGATTTAATCTACAAGACAATGGAGTAACGTAAGGAGATACAGTCACATGGTAGTCAATGATCATCGATAGGTTCATATGCCATTTGTTCCCTTAAGATCGTGGAGCCCGTGTTCACCTTTGGTTTGGAATGAGTGTTTCTTCCAACTCCTCTAGGTGGATTCTCCATATGCACGAACTCGGTTAAAGTACCGGACATTGACTATCTGTCTTCTCAATTTTGTAAACAACACCCTCGTTGCAAGAGAGTAGAGAGTAGGATTTCTCTGACAGTGGTTGTATGCACATGGTGGTATGAAATAACTTTGGGGGGAGGCGACTCTCCCTACTCTTGGCCATACCAGGGCATTTGGGGGAGGGGCGGGGCCAAATCGTGGTTTTTGGCACAAAATTAATATCAGAAGGGGTTTTGTGGATATTATAGTAATTTTAATACTTTAAATCATGTGTCGTTTGAAGCTAGACCACTATGTGTCGCTCAATTTTTTGGATTAGTTGAAGTTAGACATTAACACTATTGGATGCTGGCTCAATGGTCTAATGGTTAAGCATTCGCATGCGAGACTGATAGGATACACATTGCCTAGAATTCCTACAATAGAATGAAACGGCCATTCAGTGCTTCCAGATTTCCCATGGTGGTCTTAGAAGGATACACTCCAAACCGATGCAGATGATTTTCTTACGGGGTCACACCCCAATCCACTGATTTAAAGATCTAATCTATAAAAAAGTGGAGTAACATAATGAGATATATAAACTATAAACCAGACTAATGTTATATATTGAGGGGCCGCCGAGTAAATGGGCAGTAAATTATTGATCGGATGAAGGACGCGTAAAACACATGCCAGTGGCTTAGAGTTCTGATTGGCCCTGCTTTCCGCTTAGCCCAGCTAGTTAAGTCCAGAACCCCAATCTCAGCCTCTGCAATATAAATCATTATATTTCAAATATACTGAGTTTATATACCAATCAAACAGACCACAACGTAGCATAAAATAGGAAATAACATTTGTACAAAATTTGGTCAAATGTGGCTGTGAATGTGAGAGGCACTGACTAATAAACAGGGCATAATTCAAGAATGGTAAAGCGTATACTAATAGTTCATAGGTTAAAATAAAACTCATAATAAGCTGGACATGAATATGAATAGTTTAGTTATTTAACAATTATACGATAAAAATATATACGCATAGTATTGGTCCACAAATGGATCCTACAAGTTACCATTCATTATTCTTGTCAGGACATAGCAACTAATATTTAGCACTACTCATTGTATTGATATTATTTCTATACAACAATAAATATGATCCTATTCTTTTTTTAAAAAAAGAAAAAAAAAAAGAAAAATTACACTCCTGATCATAATCTCATTCTTCTTTTTTTCTCTTTTTTTCTCTCTTTTTTTAATTCTTCTTTTTATTTAATTAGGCTGTGAATCAAATCTTGCTCGTGTTCTATTATTTTCAACAATCGGTATACTACTTACATTACTTTTCATTTTTTTTCTATGTTCAATATTTCAAATTTGGTAAGTCATTTTTATTTTCCACGTTTATATGAATGTGAATTGTCAAATTATTTGTTGTTGTTGTTGTTGGTGGTGGTGGTGGTGGCGGTGGTGATGGTGGTGATGGTGGTGTCATCCTCGCCGTCGTCGTTCTTGTTCTTGTTGTTGTTGTTTCTTGATGAATACCTTTTTGTTCTGGTTTAAAATACTTTTGTACGACTTAGATACCTTCGGTGTTTATTAGAAGCGGCATAAAATGTTTTTTTGTTGTTGTAGCCGACTTGAAAAAAAAAGAGATTAGATGAAATTTTTTTGTCATTGAATGTTAAATGTTGATTGTAAGATACTGGTTGTAGTAAACGAGAGAACATTAGTGTAGGATAATTGAATGTAAATGAATATAGTATTGCAGAAGAAGCATACAGTAAGCACTTCATTTGCAAAATGTTAATCAGTTGTCTCAAAATTGACTGTTCCTTTTGAAAATATCAATCAATTATTTCATACTTCATTGTTCCTGCATTTCTTATATCCAATGGTTTATACCGCCGTTCATTCCTATTTAATGTTCTTAACCTTTTGCTGCGAGACATTTTTATTCTTAACTAGCGTTATATAATACTTATATCGATATAAGTAACACATACCAGTTCCAGACCCGCATCGGTATCCACAGGATAGCACCCTTTCTTTACTTTTGGTTGGTGGCAACACCAAATGTAATGAACAAGAACACAAGTGGGAACAACCAAATGTATTTTACTAAAAAAAGAATTACAGAATTTCTTGGTAAAATCTGAGAAGCATATAGTAAATACTTCATAGTACTTACGTTTCCACATTACACATTCTTTGTTCTCCTTCTTTTATCATCCATCTTCTTAACCTTCTGAATCCAGATAGTTCATTTTCAATTAGTGCTACACACTACTTATATTTGTTGACATCAATAGCATATACCCCACTATTAATTACATATGATTAATCATTTTAGTCATTTGAATTTAAATTATTATCTATAAGTATCCATACCATAGTTGGATTTGATAGTTTCAAATAAATTGAGTATTAAATAGAAAGTTAATAATAAATATATTATTATCAGAAGGGATTGTGTGGAGATTTTTAGAAATTTCACTGGTTGAAATCATGAATCCATTGAAGCTAGACCACCATGGAAAACCTGGAAGCATTGGATGGCCGTTTCGTCCTAGTATAGGAATCCTCAGCAGTGCTCATCCACAATTCTGCTGTTTGCGAGATTTGAACCCAGGACATATCGGTCTCGCGCCAGGCGCTTAACCAATTAGTCCACTGAGCTGGCCAGCATTCAACGGTGTTAATGCCTAACTTCAACTAATCCACGAAATTGCACCACCGTACACTATTGTCTTCAGTGAGCTGATATCTTACAACAGACCTAGTTGAACTTCACTGGTCACGGCTTCTCCCTAAAACTCCAGGAGTATCTCTTGAAATCAATCACTAGTGCGCAGATGATTATTATTATCAGAAGGGATTGTGTGGAGATTTTTAGAAGTTTCACTGGTTGAAATCATGAATCTATTGAAGCCTGGCGCCTGGCGCGAGACTGATAGGTCCTGGGTTCGAATCTCGCGAGGAGCAGGATCGTGGATGAGCACTGCTGAGGAGTCTCATACTAGGACGAAACAGCCGTTTAGTGTTTGCAGGTTTTCCATGGTGGTCTAGCTTCAATGGATTCATGATTTCAACCAGTAATAAATACATGTTTGTTATATCCGAATGAGCGATTATACGCAAAGATGGATAGTAGTTATCAGTGGAATCCTATTTAGAACTCATCAGCTGGATGTACCTGCATCTCAAAGTTATTGTTCATTCTAGAATTTGAACCCAGTACCGTTCGCTTCAAATACCATTATGTTATCTACTTAGCTACTGAACCCTGATAATCACTTGCATGTGCAATGGGATGAAGTTTAAATACAATTGATATTGTTGACTTGAATCTTTCCATTAATGTTTAGAACTACAATGGATCAGTATCTTGTTGATATATTTACATCCTGTATGAATTGCCACGATGTTGCCTTAAGTCACAAGCGTCATAAACAAAGATGGATAGTAACTAGTTGTGGAATCCAGTTTGACACGTGTTTCGTCCAATATGTGACTCATCAGATGGATGTACCTGTATCTCAAAGTTGATGTTTTTTTTCATCTAATAATTAAGACATTCTAGACTATTTTAAGAATATTATAATGTGAACCGTTTAGAACTGAACAGCCTTTTACCATTTTCATTCAAGATTATTAATCTATTCAACTTAACACCTTTGCGTTTTGTTATTGATTCGATTTATTAAGAACACTCAATTGGAACATAGTGATTATTATCTAAGAATTCTAATGATTGCATGATATAATGGGATAGTTATAAAGTTTCATCAATGAGAAATTACTAGGGTTTTTTTTTAACTGAGTAACTGAATAAATTCGAAATTGTAAACGATTGAATTCAATCTATTCAATCTAACATAAAGCGTGCTCACCACATGAAGTAATACCCAGAAAATTGACTCAACGCTGAAAAACAAAAACAACTATCATACGGCCTTCTTAGCCACCCAGATGCCCCTGATACGGCAGAGAGTGAAGAGAGTTAGCTCACCCTCTTCAAATCCTCTCGAATGGCCACGTCTATACAACCACCGCTAGAGAAGGTCTACTCATTGCCTCCTCATGGCTTGAGCGTTGTTTACGCAACTGAGAGGATGAAAAACGAGTGTCTGGAGTTTTAACCGAGTTAGTGAATATGGAGGATCCACGTAGAGGAGTTGGGAAACCCTGAATCCGAACCAATAGTGCACATGGGCTCTAAGATCCTAAGGAAACCAAAAGGCTATGAACCTATTGTTGGTCACCGGCTACCATGAGACTGCATCTTCTTACGTTGCTCCATTGCCTTGTGGATTAGACTTTTAGGTTGAAGACTCCGGGTGTGGCCTTCCACCTACTTCAGTTTGGGCAACTGGTAAGTATCCCGGGCTTCACATAAATCGAATGATTTACGTACCACATATCTGTTTGGTGCTTTCTTGTACCAATAATTATGTGTTTAAATAAATAAACAAGTAAAACTCTCGTATTTCAGTAGATAATGAGAACAGTAGTCAATGCAACTAATGCAAAATTATTATGTATTTCACATTTTAGTAAAGTTAATATTAAGTTTACAAACTTTAAACAAAACCAATGGTAAATTATTGTCCAAGATTGTAGTTTGGTTTAGGTATGTAAATGAGAGATTCATTTGCTCATTATGTATTGAAACAAGAAATAATTTTACGTATATTGTATGTATACTACTTATATCTGTCGAATTAAGTAGTATATAGCACTAATCAAAATTTAAATCGTTGAAAACAGAAGACTAAAAGGATCCAGTTGAAGTGAGTCTGCGTCAACACCTGAACTAAGGATAGAGAGTGAAGTAGTCGAACGTGTTAACAACTTCATTTATCTTGGAAGTTTAATCAGCCCTAATGGGTTGGTGTCTGATGAAATCTCAGCACGGATTAGAAAAGCTCGTTTAGCTTTTACCAACTTACGTCACCTATGACAAAGGCGAGATATCCGTCTATCAATTAAAGAATGAGTATGTTTCTCAGTTTTTCGTTCTGTTTTACTTTATGGCTGCGAAACGTGACCATTAAGAGTAGAAGGTATTCGTAAGCTACTAATATTTGACCACAGATGTCTTAGAAATATTGCAGGCATCTTCTGGGATCCCCGGGTAAGTAATAGTAAGGTTAGACACACGGTATTAGGGAATGATGGTTACGGGTCCGCGTGTTGTGCATGTCTGAACACCGTAATTCTGACTAGTGAAGGGGATGGTTGGAAGAACGTTAGGTGTGGCCAAACCAAAACGTGGCATCAGTGCTTGAAGTCACTAACTTCTAGTTTGAGCCATGTTGGTAGATGCAGACTACTCGGTTGGGGTCCGCGTGACTATCGTAACCAATGGTTAGGGACTCTGAGTGACATGGCTCAGTATCGATCACAATGACGTAGGTGTATACACTCTCTGTCTTCCCTTATACTAAGAGATTAAAATCACTTCATATCTTTCTTCCTACGAACTAACTCTTTATTCCTGTACTATATCCTTATATGCAATCTTTCCTTTATATATTACCCACATTGAATTGACTCTTTCTATGAATCCGTTGTTCATCTTGTTGTGCTAATGAGGTATGGCAACTTGAACCGATACATATATGTGCCTGATCCTACGTTGTAGCTGACTGAATGACTGACTGAGTATAAAAACAAATAAAATAAAATTGTGAATTGGAAGAATCATACAGATTAAAAGAACAAATGATGAAAATTTACAAATGAAGTATTCACTGTATGATTCTTGTATATCTTACCAAGATAGTTGAGTAGATAAAGCAATGGCGTTTAAAGCGGATAATACTGAGTTCAAGTTCCAGAGTGAACATCAACTCTGAGATGCAGATATATTTAGCTGACGAGTCCCAAAAAATAGAACGAAACGCGAGTCAAACTAGATTCCACTGCTAGCCATTATCCATCTTTATTTATAATGCTTGTAAATTAAAGCGATATCGTGGCAATCTCGACAGTATACACATATGCCATAAAAAGAGACTGATCAATTTCAATCTTAAACATCAATAGGAAGATTCAAGTAAAAACAATACAAAAATGTTACCAAAATATGCTGTTGATTATCATCATTTAAGCGTTTGTTCATTACATTACTTCTCATTACATATATATAAATTTATATATATTAAATTTTATTTTTCAGTTATAAAAAGCGACAATCATCAAATAGAACATGTTCATCAGTATTGGTAAAATCAACAGTATCGAAACAAGATAATCCAGTAAGTAAAAGTCTCCCCTTCCCCCCCCCAACCCCCCACCTTCCATAAAATAATAATACGATTTATTTGTCTTTTTCATTAAAAATCAATAAAAGAATTTTTTTGTTGTATTTATTCATGATAATTAATATATTGTGGAAACAAAAATAAACCAGTTGGGGGGGGGGTAGTAGATTTAAGAAGATGATGAAAGGTGAAACAGATGGCTGTAAAGGAAGAAGAGTATGAAGATATATATATTATTTACTTACTTACTTACTTACGCCTGTTACTCCTAATGGAGCATAGGCCGTCAAACAGTATTTTCCAATTCACTCTGTCCTGGGCCTTCTTTTCTAGTTCCATCCAATTCTTGTTCATTTTTCTCATGTCAATCTCCATTTCTCGACGTAATGTGTTCTTTGGTCTTCCTCATTTCATTTGGCCTTGAGGATTCCATATGAGGGCTTGTCTTGTGACGCACACAGTTCGGTGCTCTCCTCAATGTGTGTCTTATCCACTTCCAGCGTTTCTTTCTGATTTCTTCCTCCGCTAGAATCTGGTTTGTTCTCTCCCATAGTAGGTTGTTGCTAATAATGTCCGGTCAACGGATCCGAAGAATTTTGCGTAGACAACCGTTCATAAACACCTGCATCTTCTGGATGATAGATTTCGTAGTTCTTCAGGTTTCTGCCCCATACAGTAGAACTGTCTTCACATTTGTATTGAAAATTCTGACTTTGGTGTTGGTTGACAGACAGTTGTTTTGAGTTCCAGATGTTCTTCAGTTGTAAATATGCTGTTCTTGCTTTGCCGATCTGTGCCTTCACATCTGCATCAAATAAGATACATATATATAAGATATTCGGACCATGGTAGAAGAAGAGGTTGTACCAGTTTCTTTTTCATACATAATTCTAGGTTTTTCTAACTGTATGGATAATGATTCGGCAATTCACAGAAGATGCAGTCTAATTGTTTTTATTTCCACGATCATTCTGACTACATTTAATGTCAATTAATATATTGTTCATATAATGAAATCGATATATATATATATATATATATATATATATATATACAATTGTGTGTAGGGACGTTAATTACAAAATGGACGAAGAATGATGATCACCTGTTTCCTTTTTTTTTTCTATCTTTGAGAGAGTTTCATTGAACTGTAATACTATAATACACTAGCAGGAAGTCTTAACACAGGATTTTATGCTAGTTACTATACTCTTAATTGGTTCCACTGGATTATTGATGTTTAATTATTATTTAATGGTGATATTAGTGTCATATCATTATATCATGTCCTCACTAGTGCTTAAATTCGAGACGTGGAACTCTTGAATAAATGATTTTGACTGCATTAGGTGTACAGCGGTTACCAACCAATGACAAAGGAAAACAGTTACGCAATATCGTTAGTTGACTGAAATATAAGATGTAGATCGTTGTATTACATTTTATTTATTTATTTATTTTAACACATAGATATTAGTACAAGAAGGCACCGAATACATATGCGCCACACAGATCTCATTTGATATGTGTGAAGGCTGTGATACTGACCAAGTGCCCAAATCGAAGCAGGTGGTTTGCTTAGGGGGCCACACCCCGAGCCTTCGACCTGAAGGTTTGATCCACAAGGCAGTGGAGCATCATAAGGAGATGCAGTCCCATGGTAGCCGGTGACCAACGATTGGTTCATACACCATTTGTTCCTTCAGGATACTGGAGCCAGCCCATATGCATCATTGGTTTGGGATCCGGTTGAAGTGCCCGACATTCGCTTTTCGTCCTCTCATTTTTCGTAAACAACACCCGTGGTGCGAGAAGGTATTGAGTAGGACCTCCCTGGTGGAGGCTATACACGCGTGGCCATGTGAGAGCATTTGGAGAGGGCGAGCGAACTCTCCCCACTCTCGGCCGTATCAGGGCATTTCGGGGCAATCTAATGAATGTATTACAACTAGACAATTTAAAGATTAGATACTCATTGAAAAAAAACATGAAGGTTCTGGATTTGATTCTCTGTGGGTTCATAGACGCTCACAACCAAAAATCTTCATAGGAGAGTGAAACAATTGTCCAATGCTTCTTAATTTTCACTAGTGATTTAACTGAGATCAATTCTATGATGGAAACTAACAATATTAATCCTATTCTTGCTACTGAATGACCCAAATAAATTTTCTAAAATTTTCTAAGACATTCTGTTCAAGATTCAAACAGTAATTGATCGACGAACTTTGTTGAATATTGTTATGTCACCAATCTAAACAAATCGATAATGTAGATTGGAAAATTCCAGCATAATAGACGAAATTGTTTTATTCTGAGGATAAAGAATATCCCCTCACTACTACAATGATTTCTTAAAACTGTAAAAAGAATATTTTCACGGTTGAAGTTACTAGTCAATCTAAGCTGGGATATCATTGAAAATCTGGGAGTACTAGACGGCCGTCTTATCCGAGTATGGAAATACTCAGAAGTGCATATCTATGATCGTGGACAGAATACTCAAACCCATTTGGTCTCACGCACTAACACTTAACATCTAGACTACTGAGCTGCCATCTATTGGCGTTAAAGTCTAATTTCAATCGATCCATAGTATTGTACAACTGTCTCACACCCAACTCGACTAGTCACGATTTCTCACTCGAACTCTAGAAAACTCATGTCTAAGATAGTCACTAGTAAGCATATGATTATTATTGGTATGAAGATTTGTGGAGATTAAATTAATTTTAATAATTGAGTTTCATTAGTCGACCTAAGCTAGACCAACATTGAGAACCTAGAATCTCTGGATGGTCATTTCGTTCTAGTATAGGACTCCTTATTGGTGTGCATCCAGGATTCCGTATAGAGAAATTGAATCCAGGATCTTTGGTCTCACGCGCTAACACTTAATCTCTAGACTACTGAGACGCTATCTAATGGTTTTAACGTTTAACTTTAATTGATTCATGATCTTGCGCAACCTTTGTTCCATTGTCTGAGGAGCATAACTGTCTCATACCCGACATGGATTACGTACTGGATCATGGAAGCGCACTGCTAAGAAGTCCCGGTACTAGAACAAAACGGCCATTTAGTGCTTTCATGTTTTCAATATTAGTTTAGCTTAGATCGATACATGAAATCTCTTCTGTTTTTCCGTTTTTATAATACAAAAATGTCATATAATGTCATTTTCACTATACAATCATACAACAGACATCTTGTTACTAACCGTAAGGTGTTAATACTCTAAGTAAAGATACCTTCTACAATAATTCATCACAAGATGAATATTACATAAGCTTCGTCAAACAAAATGGAATGTCATCAAATTTCATAGTAACTAACTCAACTGGATAGTTTAAAGTCCCTAAAAATTAACTTTGATATTATTTATCTACCTTTATAATTGTAGGATAATATTCCATATAAATTTAATCCATATTCAATCAATTTATCATTACCTAAACAGAATTATTCAAAACAATCTAAAATATATCTTAATCCATTATTTGATACATATATAACTAAAGTATATTCAATAAATACCCAAACGAATCCTACTGATATAAGTTCACAGAGTACAATGAACGATATGTCAAAATGTCATTATCATCATCATCATCATCAGCAGCAGCAGCAGCAGCGGCGGCAGCAGCAGCAGCAGCAACAGGAGAAACAACAACATCAGTATCATCATATTCTCTATAATCAACATAATTGTACCAATTATATTGATCCTTTAACATATATATCATCAATATCAACTATGAATAAAATAAATTCAAATATTAGTAATATTACAAATTTTCATAAAAATTTATCAATATCATCAATTATTGATTTTGTTGAAAATTCTTCAATCTTATCTAATTATTCTGATCATTTATCACAATCAATAAAACAATCAATAAATCAACAAGATAATTCTTATATAAATACCATTAATCCTATAGAAACTATGAAAACTAGTTTATCTCATAATATACCAATCATAAGTGAATTAAATGATGATAAACATATTGATTCTAGAAATGATCAAATACAATTCTCTAATAATACAAATCAATATAATTTATCATTAATGGATCAATATCAATCAAATTATATACCATATTCAAATGTAGACTCAGATATTCATCATATACCATTAATGACAAACTTACCCTATGATAATAATAATAATAATAATAATAATAGTAATAATAATAATAGTAATAATGTTATATTCAATTTGAATAATACTAATGATATTACAAATAATACAGACTACTTATTACATAACTCATTAATATGGAGTAATTCTAATAATAATAATAATAATAATAATAATAATAATAATAATAATAATAATAGTAATAATAATAATAATGATCATCATCATCATCACCATCATCATCATCATGATCATAAGACAATGATGAATACATCATCTATTAAATCTTTATCAAATAAGTCTTGTCAACAATGTATAATACATCATCATTGTCACCATGGTTACCAAATAAATCAATATGACTATTCTAAAAATTCTCCAATACAATTAGAATTTGATTCAATTAAAAATATTTCTGATAATTGTTAATTTAAAAAGAAACTGTGTTTTTTTTCTGTTTTTTTTTTTCGAAGAAAAAAACAAACAAAAAACCCGTTTTTTTTCCAAGTTTTTCTCTCTTTTCTTTTTTCTTTTTGTTGTTGTTGTTGTTATTATTATTCATATCTCTCTTAAGTATTAATGATAACGATGTGAAATATGTACAATAATGGATAATGTACGCACAGAAAAATATAAATCATTAATATCAAATGGTCTATATCATGGTGAATATTTATTTATTTTTTACATATCAAATAATATAAATAAATGAACAATATCTTTCTTTCTTTCTTATATAAGAAAGTATAAGAACAATAAAAAAATAATCAATGATAGTTCAATGATTCTTAATATTTCTCCTCCCCTCCCCAATTATCACCATCATCATCATCACCACCACCACCACCACCATCACCCTTACCCCCCACCAAAAGTAGTGTTTAAAAAAAGAACATTTTGAAGATTATATTCACAAAAGAAAATTGTATATAAAGATATTTTTTTTCTATCGCGAGATGGAAAGGTGGTGGTGATGAATGATATTATATTCTCTTTTTGTTTTTCCCGCTCTCTCGCTCACTCTCTCTCCCACACACACACACCTACACATTTATCGCTTTCAACCTATTATATTATATATCCATATCATTTATTTCCAGCTTCTCATCTATTTAAAAGATAGATATCATAGTAACAAAAACAAAACTAATGAAACTCATTACCTGTAATAATTTGGTTCATTATGATGCCTATACAACCAAGGTGAATCATATAAACTACTTTATCAGTTACAAATGGAATACACAAGAAAATCAACAACAACAACAACAACAGCAACAACAGCAAAAAAAACAGTCACACATTCCTTCATACAATATTCAAAGATCATTTCAAAACGGAACAAAATCAAATCAAATCAAACAAACAAATTTTTCACAATTTTTTTTTCTTTATTCCATTTCCAATGTTCTTATTGTTGCTTGTTGTTGTTGCTTGTTGTTGTTGCTTGTTGTTATTGTTTTTCTCTCTTTTCTTTTTCATCATTCTTTAACTCTTGTTTGTTTTTTTCTTTTGTTTTGTTTCTTCTCTGTTCTTTTTTTTTTATATTCTACATCAAATCAAAGTGAAGGTAACTATTATCACTATTATTATCATTATTATTCCGATGGATAATGATAGTCAATGACATGTGATTACTTATGACATAATGAGAAATAGTTTCATTTGTACAGTTGGCTTTATTTCAAATATACATATATATAAACAAACAGAACAACAGAACAATTAATATACACATATATATATATATACTATTATGTGAAAAGAATTAATGAATAAATGAACATAATTATTTTTTCAATCAAAATATATGTATCTATGCTTTTGTTGCCATGGTAAAAACAAAACACTTTTGTGTGTGTGTGTGTGTTTGAATGATCAATATGAGAAGGTATCATCTAGTAGAATGTAAATAGCTGTAAATTCTAAAGATCATAGATTTCATTCAATGCTTTGTGAGTTATAATGTGTTATAATTTGTGCTCTGTGTTTCTATTAATGTATAATGTAATGATATCGTCAATAAGAGAACAGTGAATTATTGATCGGATCAATGACGTATGAAACTCGTATGGAGTAGTCTAGAGTCTTTATCGGTTCAAATATATTGGGTTTATATACAAATCAGACAAACCACATCATACCATAAAATAGAAAACATCATTTGTATACTTACTTACGCCTGTTACTCCTAATGGAGCATAGGCCGCCAAACAGTATTCTCCAATTCACTCTGTCCTGGGCCTTCCTTTCTAGTCCCATCCATCTCCATTTCCCGGCGTAATGTGTTCTTTGCTCTTCCTCTACTCCTTCGACCTTGAAGATTCCATGTGAGGGCTTGTCTTGTGACGCACGCAGTTAGGTGCTTTCCTCAATGTGTGTCTTATCCACTTCCAGCGATTCTTTCTGATTTCTTCCTCCACTGAAATCTGATTTGTTCTCTCACACAGTAGGTTGTTGTTGATAATGTTCGGTCAACGGATCTGAAGTATTTTGTGTAGACAACTGTTAATAAACACCTGTATCTTCTGGTTGATAGATTTCGTAGTTCTCTAAGTTTCTGCCCCATACAGCAGAACTGTCTTCACATTTGTATTGAAAATTCTGACTTTGGTGTTGGTTGCCAATTGTTTTGAGTTCCAGATGTTCTTCAGTTGTAAATATGCTGTTCTTGCTTTCCCGATCTGTGCCTTTACATCTGCATCAGATCCACCGTGTTCATCGATGATGATGTCCAAATATGTAAAGGTTTGTACATCTTCCAAATCTTCTCCGTTAAGTGTGATTGGATTCGTCCATGTTGTGTTGTATCGGAGAATCTTTCTTTTCCCTTTGTGTATATTGAGACTTTATGCTGCTGCTAAGGCTGCAGCTACACTAGTCGTCTTCTCCTGCATTTGTTGTTGTGTTTGCGATTGAAGAGCCAGATGATCTGCGAAGTCTAGATCATCCAACTGCATCCTAGCTGTCCACTGTATCCCGTGCTTCCCTTCAGATGTTGACGTCTTTATAATCCAGTCAACCACGTGGAGAAATAGAAAGTGAGAGTAAACAACCTTATGTGACATTGGTCTTTACTTAGAACGACTTTTTCAACTGTCCTCAACATTCGTATAAAATTTAACTGAAAGTGGCTGTGAATGTGGGAGGTAGTAACTGATCGACTGGGTATTACTCAAGAATGGTAAATCGTGTAATAATAGTTCATGGGTCAAAATAAAGCATATAATACAAGGAACACGAATATGAATAGTTTACTTACTTAACAACTATCCAATAAAATATATGTATAGTATTACTCCAGAAATAAATTCCAACAGTTACTATTCATTATTCTCATCACGATGCAACATAACGATAGTCTAGATAATTATGGTTCGTTAGGTAAACTATCTTCTTATTGAATTATATCCAAAAATCTTAAATCCTAATAATGAAGCTATTTGTTGCTAATAACATCCATTGATGGTTAAATTAATTAATCGTTGTACAACACTTATGTGCTAATGAAGGTTCATTGATGTCCTTCCTAAAACTTTGGTTGCTGAAATGAAAGCGTGTTCAGTTTTCAAGCGGCCAGGGAAAAACCAGTTGTCAGTTGTGGAAAACGATATACTTATCTAAACGTGGATTTAAACAAGTCTTTACACAGGATTATTTAACCACAGACTCTTCAGTGAGTACCATAGACATGGGTCCACCAGTGAATTATAATACCAAACAATGTTGAGTAAGTCAAAAGATTAGATCACCAATTTATGACATACCATTTTCTGATTATTGCTTATATCCAGTTTAAGTTAAACATAGAATTAAATACTTCTTTAAAACTATATTGAACCAGTACCCTGAACTCAGTGAACTATCAGTAAAACTCCTACGTGTGGTGATAAATGTTCCACATGGTACCACTATCACAGGACGATCAGAATTCCCAGAAGCACATCAGCAAAACCTTGGAAGCTAGGCATGATAAAGAATAAGCTTAGTAATGTGCTAAATTTGGCAATAAATCGTCCCTCAATCACTCCATAACTGTTCCCGTTGCATATGATAATTTGCTGTTGATCAAAAGCAACTTGGAATAAAGTTCGCTACAGGCCAATTTTTCCTGCCTCACCACCACAAGTAAACAGTCGCCTTGAAATTTACAACTGCATTTTAGTAAAATGGTAAGAATTTCAAAAAATTAGTTAAAGAAGATATCCGCAAATCACCTGTCTTAACTAGTTTAATTTTTGAATTGTCGTGCATGTCATTTGCACTGAGAAAATACGAGTACGATTTTTCAATATTTCGATAACAATTCGGTGGACTTCAATAGCATAATACAGGAACACTAAACTTGATTTATCCTGCCAAACGTTTTTCAGCACAACAATGATATCCCTCTTGCTGAAGACTAAATTGATAGTTTCAGAGTACTAGAAACCCACCACCATCAAGTCATCTAAAACGTTTGATGCTAAGTTCATAAAGACGGGCTCCATGAAACTACCAAAGTTTCAACTTTAAGTGAAAGAACTAATCGTAATGTCAGCGATGGAAGGTACAATGACTCTAGCCCCACTCGTTAAAACTGTAAATGCGTCTGATACAGTTGTCAGTGAAGTCTCGAAACCATTAGTGAACAACACTCTTATTCCCCTAGTAATAATTGAAAAATACCAATTCAACGTAAAGACGTTTCATCAAAGAGCTCATAACCATGTTTAGAGAAATTTAGAGACCACTATAGAGAATTCAAGAACGCCTTATCCTCGTAGTTCAACACAGATCTTACCTCATATGAAGTCCATCTAGCCAACTAAAATCATTATCTACCCAACATTACGATACTTCTTATAGTTCATTGTACAAAGTAATTCGTTAGGCGGATTATGAAGGATCTTGCAAGATTCAAAGTACTGCTTTGTTGAATTAAGTATTACACTAATCAACATAAACTTGATGAAAATAACTTTGCAGCACGAAAACATCAGCGACCTTGAAGCGAGTACCACGGCATGTGACAGCAAGACAGTTTTCTCCCTAGCGGAACAGCATAGTTCTCAAAAAGTCCTGAAGATTTCAGCACACGAAACAATGTTTGACTTTTATTCTCGCCTCTCATTTTCTCCAACACTGATGTTACAATTGTATGTGTCAATACACTGAGGAGAATGTTACACATTTTTATCTTTATATCTTTATATATTTGTGCAAGGATAAAAACTCTGTGTGGGTCCAATTTTCGACGCTAGTAGGTGTTAAACATTTAATCTTTTTCGTACAATAGGTGTTCTTTAGGAGCAATTTTGAAAGCCCACACTATTGAAAACTTATTATTTTTTTAAGAACGATATCACAATGTTCCTTTGTTACTAACATGGTCGACCAGTAATGTTAGGAAAACAGACGATAAACTAAGTGTGGTGTTTGAATGAACTGATGATCCCTTTGTACTTGTTGAATGCTTGGTTTCGAATTTCATATACAGTACATTCGTTAGTGCTTGTCTAGTACTTCTTGATTTAATTGAGGTTATTTCTGGGATTCTTAGTTAGTACTATAATTCAAATACTACTAATCATCATATTGGCGTCGCGATTGAGCCTATGGTGAATTGTTGGATATACATTCAGGTTTTGATGCTTTTGAGGATTACTTTGAAAGTTTCGAAATCTGGTCTATGACCAAGGAAGATGACGAAGATGTTGGTATTGTAGCACATTTCCTCACATTCATCGGAAAAGAAGCATATAGCTTAATAAAAACTCTGGCTTTACCGGGTAAGCTCATTTCGCTTCCTTATGCAGCTCTCAAGGAACTACTGCTAGACTATGTTAAGTATACAAATTTCGA